TCCGTCTCTTCCACAAACAAACAAACACACACACACACACACACACACACACACACACACACACACAGACGAACATCCCTACCATCCTCCTCCAAGCTCTGTTGCATTTTTGTCCCATTTTTCCTACGATGATCCTGAGCAGGAAACTCATTAAGAAACCAAATTACTACCTATCTCAGGTTGGAACTAATGCATTGACATCCGCAGCGGTTGTTAAATGAACTGTAAATCCAATACACAAAAATAATTTTCAAGTGAATCAAATCAGATTTCAGTCAAAAGCAAAGCACAGGAGACTTAAGGCGTGCAGTTTTCTGAGCGTTCACCAACTAGATGGGGTTTTTTTTTTCTTCAGAAAGGAAAAAAAAGCCATCCAAATTTGAGAAATCCAGGACAAAAACCATAAAATGGCATTAATCAGACTGTACACAATGACACGCAATCCAAGCAAATGCTTGGAATTTAAGGACATGAAGGTTCAAATAATGTTGGTAAACCTGGAGACCATCCATGGTTTTTATTTCCAGATCTAAATTGAAGAAGAGGAGGAAGTGAGAAACCCCATAGAAACAATGGCTCTCCAGAAACTTATCAAGACCTTAAATACATTCATTTAAACATACACATACATATAAATATACAGATTAGTGGTAGGATTCAAGAATTTTTACTACCAGTTCTGTGGGTGTGGCTTGGTGGGTGTGGCATGGCTTGGTGAGCATGGCTTGGTGGGCATGGCAGGGGAAGGATACTGCAAAATCCCCATTTCCTCCCGATTAGCTCCGACTCAGGAGGCAGAGAATAGATGGGGGCGGGGCCAGTCAGAGGTGGTATTTGCCAGTTCTCTGAACTATTCAAAATTTCCGCTACTGGTTCTCCAGAACTGGTCAGAACCTGCTGAATACCACCTCCGATACAGAGACAGAGACAGAATTGTAGCTATGGGGAAAATAGGCAGAAGGTGTATTTGATATGTACGTCACCTTGAGTTATTTATAAAAAAATAATAAAGGCGGGATACAAATAAATAAAAATAAAAATGAGAGAAGGAAGAGTAACAGGGTAGTAAAGTAGCTGCTTGCGCAACCTTGCAACTCTCCGGTTAGCCCTAAGGATCCTCATCTAAAATCTGTTGTAAATAGGTGTCTCCTACCCCTTGATTTGTTGCAAGAGAGTTAGTGGTGGGAGATTCCTAGTGTGTAAAAGGAGACTTGTGCAAGCTGCAACATTAGAAGATCAATGCAAATGCTTGCAGTACGAGTCCAAGTGTAGCAAATGTATTTTCTCTGCTGTGTGTGTGTGTGTGTGTGTGTGTGTGTGTGTGTGTGTGTTTGTGCTAGGGAGAGGAAGTTGGGAAGACGTAGGGGAGTTTCAAACAATGGACCTGAAGCAATTTATGAGCCTGCATTAAGGGACTGATAGAATGGGGAAAGACAGCCCATTAACCTGTGCACACAAAATATGTCTGTTATTATTGTCCATAAATTCCTCAGTTGCCTGTGGAAAGAGGCGCTGTAAAAATAGTGTGACTGATAGAGAGCGATAGTAAACAGCCTGTTAAACAAAAACAGTAAACTCCGCACAAATAGACTTAGTTTTGGGCTGCTGCCGTAAAACCCAGCACAAGCCACACAAGGAACACACAGTTGAAAACCTCTCCGAAATGCATTTATGATTCTAGAAACGGCAAAGCATTGATGAAGTGGCTGGCAAGTATTCACAAAGGTGTAGTGTTTGTTTGAAAACTCCAAGCTCTTCTGTCCAATTGAGTGCCAGCTCGCTTGGTTCTACGGCATTAAATAATCCACTCTTTGGGTTGAAGGCGCTTTTGAAAGAAAGTTTTTTTTTCAATTGCAGCTGTATAGCACTCTTGCCTTTATGATTTTACAGCAGCGTAATCCCCCTTCATAGAAGTGAATCCTAAAGATATTGGGGGTTTTAACCATCAAACTGCCGACCTTTCTGATCGACAAGCTCAACATCTTAGCCACTGAGCCACCGCATCTTTTTAGAATTGGACTACCACTTTAATAAACATACTGTAAAAAAAAAAATAATCCCAGAATATAATACTCACTAAAAATAGAGTTCAGTAAGAATTAAATTCTAAGCCTTTCTTCCTTTTTGAAAAGAATTTGAGAGCCAGTAGCCCTTAATGCAGTGGTGGGATTCAGCCAGTTCACNCTCTAAGCGGTTTACAGATTTTTTAGCAAATTGAGTCAGCAACTTGCCCCTACAGTCTGGGTCATTTCACCCACCTCGGAAGGATGGAAGGCTGAGTCGACCTTGAGCCGGTGAGATTTGAACCGCTGAACTGTAGATCACAGTCAGCTGAAGTGGCCTGCAGTACTGCACCCTAACCACTGCGCCAGCTCGGCTCTCATCTTGTCAGAATCATTCCCTCCTGCCCAACTAATCTCAACTGTCAATAATTGTCCTTCCATCTCCCACACCATCTAATACAACTGATGATGCTTCCAGGATAGGAAGCAAAGCGTCTTTTTTTCTTCTTCCTCCTCCACAAAAGAATCAGCCCAGTTGCCTTTTCAAAAAAAAAAAAACGTTTTTGACAATTCTGTAAGTGCTCCTTCAAAATATCAAAAGCTGTACATGAAAAAGAATTGAAAATGAGCAGACGACGTTAAATGTGTCTTTCACCTCAGGCTATTTTAATTCCATTTAGGTCTCCACAATTATATAAAGTAGCAAACAATAGTACAACTACGGAATCAATGGAAGGGTGGGGGGGGCTTCATTTGTGTGAAAGCAGCACCATATAAAACATGAAAGCTAAAAAAAAAACTCAGCACAATCTTTAGAAGAACAAGGACCGAGTAAATTTTGCTGAAGACATAAGAAATATCACAAAGTACAAGTGCATAAAAATATTGGAATGCATAAAATATTAAGCTACTCAAAAGGTAAAGGAAGGCAACGTAAAAAATACAGATTTGCAAAAATTTAAACCACGAAGAATTGAGGGGAAACGGTACTAGGAATACACAGACAGCCTCAAAAACTTGGGTTAGAGAGGAAAATATTTTTTTTTTCAGTTGGATACAGTTTCTCAGTTCTACGTCTTTGCTTTCTTGGCATCTTTTTTTCCAGAGTTTTCTGTAGCAGATTCGGCTTTTCTTTTTTGAGACTAAAAGAAGGGGGAAAGAAGAAAATGTCATTTTCATTACTCACATGGTATTTTAGAAAGGTAATGAAATCGAATAGGCCATTATGTCACCAGCTGAAGGTAACAAAGAACCTTCACTACCTTTCACCCATCCACAAACACACATTTCAACCCAAAAGATTAACATACAGGGCCTCTGAAAAGACAACACAGTGCTGGGAGGAAATCTGCAAACCTTTTAAAACTACGGGTAATCTTGTAAAACTGTCCACCACCTCCGATGTGGTCAGAACTTCAAATAAGTTCGACTAATACACAGCGATTTCAGTTAAACAGACACCACCTGAAACAAACTGGTATGCCATGTTTTTATTAAACTCATTAATCAAATTCAGTGACTTTGCTGAGAAAACTGAGAACATCCTACCAAAAAAAAAAAAATGAGCTCTTCTAAAACGGGAAGCTGAGTCAGATGTTCCAATCAATTAAACAATAACCCTGGCTAACTTTGAAGGGCTATAAAACATACGTTTTCCCAAAAATAAGACAGGGTCTTATTTTCTTTTGCCCCATGAAATAAGCACTTGGCCTTATTTTTGGGGAGGTCTTATTATTTTTGAGGTGCAAGAGGCGGTGAGCGTGGTCACCTCATGGCTGCTCCTGTGTTGCAATGTTTTTGGGGAGGGCTTATTTTAGTGCATGTGCTCAAAAGCTCGATTGGGTTTATTATCTATGGAGATCTTACTTTCAGGGAAACAGGTTGGTTGCCACAACTGGAGGCTGCCTTTCATAACAGAGGCACAGTAGGTGGATCATGTTATCAGGCCCAGTAGGTATACTACAGTGGTGGGTTGCTTTTACCGTCACTACCGGTACGCTGCTCATGGTCCGTTTGTGCACACGCCGGACATGTACTGCACATGTATGCACTTTCCACCACATCTGCGATACCCTGCTGCTCATCGGAGGTTGCACAGGCACCGCATGCTGTGCACGCGTGTGCAATTGGCCTGGTTGCTTCAAAAATAGGTATAGAACGGGGCAGGCAAACGAGCCACCATACCTGTACGGTGGCTGCTGCTCCCGACTACTACCGGTACCGGGCTGTACCGGTCAGAACCCACCACTCGTATACTAACCAGGAGATCAACTCCACAGGAAGGCTAAAATGTCTTTTATTGAAATTGGCTCTAAAAAAACCACATTAGAGCCAATGGTGGTGCAGTGGTTAAAATGCAGAATAGCAGGTTAATTCTGCCAACAGTTTGGTCCTGAACGGCTCAAGGTTGACTCAGCCTTTCATCCTTCCAAGGTCAGTAAAATGACGACCCACATTGTTGGGGAGAGTACGCTGACTCTGTAAACTGCTTAAAGAGGGCTGTAAAAGCATTATGAAACGATATATCAGTCTAAGTGCTATTGCTATCATGTTGTCTTGCAAGTCTGGTTGGGTTGAACCTCACCCCCTTCTGATCCTGGGTGGAAACTAATCAAGAAGAGAAGCACCTGGAATTAAGGAGAAACTTCCTAACCGTGAAAATAATTAACCAGTGGAACAGCTTGCTTTCAGAAGTTGTGGGTGCTTCATCACTGGAGGTTTTTTAAGAAAAGAGTGGACAGCCACTTGTCTGAAATGTTATAGTCTCCTGCTTGAGCAGGGAGTTGGACTATTAGAAAACCTCCAAGGTCCTTTCCAACTCTATTCTTTTAAATAACTAATTAATATGCTTTTTCCCAACAAAAAATGGTAAATGATGCGTTTGGGCTGCTGTTTGTTTAACCGGAATCATTTTATCTACCCAATGAAGCTCTAAAGACTTTGCAGTAAGATTATGGATAGTCTCAAAAGGTTCACCAACTTTCCAGCAGTAGTTCCAGGAGTCAGTCTTAACTTTACAAAGACTGCAATTTGTGAATTCTGTTGCAACTGTGTGTTTAAAAATTTCAAATTCATTCACCACTACAACTCATCACATTTTTAACCAGTATATTCTATGCAAACTATCCAAGAAGCTTAACTCATAAAACCCTTCAGGAGCCTATGATCCCTATCCCCTAGAGATTTCTCCTTTATAAAAATATAAATGGGCATTTATAAAAATGTGTGTGTGCGTGTGTGCGTGTGCGTTTTCCAGCATAACCTAACTCTGGAACGCCTCGAGCAATTTCAACCAAATTTGATACACAGATGATTTACTCTCTGGAGAAAAATACTGTGGGGGTAAGATATCCATAGCACGCCTTGGGGGGAGGGGTGTTCTGTTAAGATACAGCCTGTTGTGCCTTAAAATGGCTTCTACTGCACTCCCGTAAAATGGCTTCTAATGCACAGCGCGGTGGAGTTGCCATGACAATGGCTTCACAGTACTCCAGAAGGGGGCTCCCTTTGGTAAGGGGGAAAATCCAACGTTAGAAATTATGTTTGATCAGGACATTTCCCCTTAATAAATAAATACCCAGGCAACGCCAGGTTATTGGCTAGTCTTTAATGTAAATCTCTGCCGCAAGTAGGAATCAAAATGCAATGTCCCTGCACATTCTCTCAGGAGTCCCTGAAGACCAACCACTGGAAAAGACATAACTTGCAATCTAATATTTGGAAAGCCAACAATTCCCTACTTTAAAAAAAAAAAGATCTTGGCAGCTGTTTTGTTTATTTTCCCACCCTTCTTTCATTCTAGAAGAATGGATACTTTTTTTTTTTATCCAGCTGCATGATTTTCCCCTATTGGCCAATATGTTTTTTTTTTTTTGAGTTGTTATTGAGTTACACCAGTTCATGTTTTTTTTTAATTTGAATTTGAACAACTCTGTTTATTTTCCTTCCTGTCTCAAAGCTTCTTCTGAATTCATCAAAGGAAACGTGATGTGTTTTAAATGTAAAAAAAAACAAAAAAAAACAAATGCGACGAGTGGACATTCATTAATTACCGCTGGTGTCTTGGTTCCCCGCTTCTTCTTTTCAGCTTTCTCTTTTTCCTCAATTTCCATATTTTCCTTTTCAATGAGCGATATAAGCGTGTTACACCGTCTCTGGAGTTCCTGTGTAAGATCAAAAGGAAATATCAAGTTCTGCAGCACTTTAACCAAAGGAAGCCCGAGTGGAAGCATTAAAAGGCAAGATGTCCAGGCTGCAAGGTGTGGATAATTCATGCATGCTGAAAGGCTGAAACGAAGCCAGGAAATCTTATTAAAATGTGCTTCATGCTGGCAACGTAGCTTTTATGTTTGTTGACTTTAGCAGCAGGACGCGCTCTAAAGTAGTTATAATCCAAAGGATTGAAGAGGAGGTGGGCCACAGCCCTCATTCTGCCCTGTGAGATTGTGGAATAACTACTTTAAGTGTAGAGCTGAACGGCACTTTGAATCCAATGCCAGAAAAGCCCTCCAGAGCACGGAAAAGAGTGTGAACAGGACACCAAACTGCATCTCTGTGTATAGAGCCACACCATTCCCTGGGCGCCTGCAGCAGTTCCAAAAGGCAGCCATTCAGACCCCAGGAAAAGATACAGCTGCAAACAGAATCCAAATCACTCCGCAATCCTTTAGGGTAGACCCTGCCAGATTGATTTTTCTGGAAACAGGTGGCTGCTTTAAGATAAACACAATTCTGCACTTTTCTACTTTGGCTCTATCAAGAGACTTCGGAGAACAACTTCATCTAAAGTTATGCTTGGTGAGATTTGCTTTGTCATATACAGGTTATAGTCAAGGCTATGGTTTTTCCCAGTTGCAATGGATGGCTGTGAAAGTTGGACCATAAGAAAGGCTGAGCGCCAAAGAATGGAGGCCTTTGAACTCTGGTGCTAGAGAAGACTCCTGTGAGTCCCTTGGACTGCAAGGTGGTTAAACCGGTCAGTCTTAGAGGAGATCAACCCTNCGAGAGCTTCACCTCTAAGCCACCGCACCACTCCAACGCTAATAATACAATGTTCTAAACAATTTAGTGCCAGTAAATATGGTGACGGACAATCTACAGTATGTAGCATTATTGATTCAATTTCTAGGGGCACCTATCAAACATTTGGCTTGGGCAGTTGAAAAACAATTTCTTTTCCTTCTCTTCCTCCTCCATGTTCATCTTTTTCGTCTTCTTCATCTTCATCCTACTCCTCTTCCTGCTCCTCTTTTCCCCATGCCAGGGAAAAAAACATTGTTCTAAATCAGACCATCATAATTCATACTGATTTCCAGAAAAGACCTTTCCTTTATAGCTAGGACATGTGAATTATTAATATCAGAATTAAATATCAAAGAAAATGCATCAAAATTGCTAAACTTTATAAAACTAGTTTCTCTGGCCATTGTCCAAACTTCAAAACCATGAGGATTTCAGGTAAGATAATGTCCCGTCCCCTCGGCTTTTCTATGCCTCAGTGGGAAAATAAAACATGAATCGGCACATGCATGACATACTGTGAAAGTCAGGGAAGTCACATTACCACATATGCTCAGCCACCTGCCTCTCTGAACGCTAATGATTTATCCCGTCCCCTTGGACTCTACCGCATTAGCTTTTTTGAAGAGTCTTTTTCACTTACTTAAACAAAAGATCGCTGAATCTTTGCTCCGCAAAGGACTGGATTGAATTTGAAGGAGTGATCTATGGGATCAGAACTAGGAATACGTTTCTTGGCTTCTTTTTTATTCCCAGAAACACTTCTGCAACTATGGTAGCCAGAATTTTGAGGACAAAGGAGTTGCTGGGTCAGGCCAAGCTGCAATCTAAGCATGCTGAAATGGTGAGGACTATGGACCAAAGCATCTGGAGAACATCAGATTGTGGGGAAACAGCTGTATAAACCCAGTGTTTCTCAATCCCAGAAAGTTTAACACCGATGGATTTCAACTCTCAGAATTTCCCAGCCAGCATGCTTAAAGTCATTGAAGCTGAGAAGCATCGATATGATCATTCTTGTCAAGTGGAACCAATGGGTAATCTCACTTCTTTATCTCTGGCTTCAGAAATATGTCCTCCCTCACTTGTGCCTATAAAGGTTGGCCTTCCCTCTCTTTCCTTGTTCGTTTAGCCTAGTCTCATCTACTTTAAATGACAGGACTTGATTTTTGTCATCATCTGCTCATCTGCCTGGTAATCTTTGGTCACAGTAGCTTGGCCCTGACCTTCCAACACTGGGGGGTCAGAGTTCTTCATATTCAACCCACTTTTTCTTATTACCAATCAGAGATGCCAGGGAGATGAATCTGTGGTAGAAGGACATCTTCTACCACCAATACATAGTAGAGGATCAATGCAATAAATATCTTGCTGTCAACTGTCCCACTGTGTTAGACAGCAAAGGAAACTCCTGGGACATTTTTTTATCCCAGAGTAGAACTTTTCTGAAGATTCCATATAGGCACAGAAGCAGAAAAGCCAGCTCTAACTATTTTGTGTGAAAACAGCATAGGAAAACTTTCCCTTTCCCCCTGCACCTCCCATTATCCATTGCCCACCAATCATTTGCATTCTCTTCATTTTGAGAACCGTCTGTCTGCTTCGGATTTCCCCAGCTGGCAACCTTGAGGTGTTGGGTCTGTGTCGGCAGGCTTGCATTCCAAATTTCTCTCCCAAACCTCCCATACATTCCAAGGCCTTCCCTCTCCCCTCCTGTTAGAGTTATGTGGTTGTTGTGTAGCAAGTGACACTCGCCTTGCTAACCATGTGGTGCCTTCACTTTGGGTTGACTTCATAGTGTCCAAAATAATCAAAAGCAAAACTCCAACTGCTCCCTCTCACAAATGACCAAATGGAGATCACTCCACTCAGTTCCCCCTATTCAATACTAGTTCAAACAATCAATTTCCCCCACATGGTCACTTCTCTCGGTGTTGAACTACAGATACTATCACTCTATCTGGTAGCTAACCAAGTTCTGATTTGAAATCAATGCATCAGCATCTCAAGGGTGGAAGACCAATTTACTAAGCTGCTCAGTGAACAAGGCGAATCCATTATACAAATCCAATCTGAAATATTTTCCTTCTTTCTCTGATGTGGTGCTTATAATAAGCAAAATAACTACAGTAATTTTTCAAATGAGAAGAAAGCAAACAAATTCACCCTGCCAGAAAAACTTTACTCGTTCTATTTTTCACGCCATATCTCCGGAATCAATAACTGCACCTATTGATTGCGGGCATAAATTCAAAACATTAATTTACATTGAGTATCTTAACCTAATAAAGAAGCAGCAGCAGCAGAATTTGGCCGAATTGATTTGCCTTTTGTTTTCAAGATTAAAATCAAACCTGTGGGAGGAAACAGAGACATTGTAAGGTACAAATGCTGTTAATTATCAGTAACTATCACAACAACAAGAAGAATCAAGTAGTCCCAAGAGGAAAAAATCCATGATTTTTCAGTCTCGAAAAATTACACAGGTTATCTATGAGACAGAGAAAGAGATCTTTCTCACCCCTAAAAGTATTTAAAGTTTGCATTTACACTGCTGGACGTTTTTCCTTGCAGATATTGAGAATAGAATAGAACAGAACAGAACAGAACAGAACAGAA